CCAAAACCGGGAGTTAGACTCTAGTTATGTTACAGTTGAGCCTGCAGCTTCTGGCATGGTCCAGAGGCCAGGGCACCCGACGAAAATAAAAATCAAAACGCCAAGTGATATCTTACCTAACTTAAGAATTTTCGTAACCAAGCTATTTCACAAATCTTTAAAGTAATTTTTGAATATTTTTAGGTTTTTTTTAGGGTAGCAGACGGCAAAGGTCACCATTTTCGAATGCACCGTATGCTCAAATTGATAATATATTTCTTTTTCCGTTGTATGAGGTGTTTACACAAAAATGACCTTTTTTTAGTAGTTAGATATTTTTTCGATTACACTAACCAGGTTGTTTATGAATGTGGCTGAAAATGTTTTCAGACCTGCTTTTTTGTTGTTGCACGCCTAAGTCTTATTAGCCCTGTTTCTACATTTGGATCGCACCGGTTTGGACTTCCACATTTTGGTTGGGAGCTTTGTGATCAGGTTTGGCGGAGTACGTTGTCCTCCCCGTTGGAGTTTGATGTCTGTTGATAATAGGTCCTTAAGTCCTCGGTGGGATTTGCATCTTTACTTATAATGCAAATACTCGCGCCACTTTTTATTTGGTGAAACATGCTCACAACCATTCCTCTGCTTTTGGGCGTTTCTTTGCGATGTATTTCTTGGCAAAATTGCCTGTACTAACCGGTATGCATCTGTTCAACATTGATTGTAGTGTATTAGGAAATTTTCACAAGCTTGAATTTATTCAAAGGACGTTTCATCTCTGTTTATGAAGTCTGTGTAGGCGTATAGTGGTACTACATTTTAAAGCTCAAAAACTGGTTTCATTCTATCATGAGGACTTATTTTAGAAAGAGTATTTATCAAGGCTGTCTTTTTTGCAAAAAATAGTGATGGGGATTAGGAGTGAAACAGTTCACTGTTCTATTCCTTAAATATGGGTTTTGTGATTTCTGAGTGGTGTCACCCGAATTTTAATCCTTTGTTCCGGTGAGCATCATTGGCATGAGTTTTCATCTATGCATTTGATGCTTTTTTTGAAATGCGATGTACCATGTGAGCGTTATGCACTCATGACTCATCAGCGACGTGTAAGCTTGACAAGGTCAAGATTAGCGCCTTTGTGATCTTGTAGAATTTTGATGAGTGGAGTCAGCGTTTGTGTTTTGTGACCCCCCTTTCCTTTTAAGTATGTAACTAAACTTTCCCATTTTCGAAGGCGTCATTTACGAATCAAACGTTCCCCCTGTTAAATCTAATTCATTTCCACCTGGTGATATATGCTTGTTAACTTGGTAATTTTAACATTTTTAAGCATTTTCCTAATACTTTGTTTATCTACTTTCAAAGAAATGTAGCAATTTGCTTCTCGATTGTATGTGTTGATGGTGCATGGAATCATAGTTAAATCCTAACTTTTAAATTAATAAACGCGCATCCTTTTGCATTCCTTTTACAGTGGAAACCATAGAAGCAAAGAAGATTAACGAAGATGAGATGCTAGTGTCGTCTTCAAAAGCGAGCGAATATCTTGCTCAGCCGAAGTTACCGGTGCCTCGATTCGTCTTCCAATTAATGCTACTTGGAGGGTGATTTCTGCGTGTTTCTATGCTGGCTTGCCTCTTGTAGTAAAATCCACTCATATAATAGTCAAACCTTTTAGAGTAATCATTTTTCTTTCAACTCTAAACATGTTTGTTATGGAATGTCACCCACTAAAATTTTGCTACTCAAATTAATATTAGAATTATTTGAAGACTAGTGTCTCAAATTGCGTGTCTAAGCCTTTCAGCATTCATTTCTGCAATTCAGTATAAGTTTACGAAAGATTGCTCTGGTTATGACTTGAGAATGTAAGATTGATGCAAACACTTGCAAATTGAACGTATTTTGGTAAATGATTAGAGTTACTGTAAACTTGACTAAAAGAGAATCTGAGGAGTTGACTGCATTCGGGTCTCATTTTTCATTTTACTCTTTAAGAGTCCTGCTCTATTCATCGTACACCATCTTGGTCCATCTTTGTGAAATCGACGGTCGTGTTCCTTTCAGCAATGCAGCAGCTGTTCTTGTCATCGAAGTTTTAAAGGTCAGCTTCAGAAGTATTTGTGCGTCCTAAAATGATGAATATGCCACCTTCCATCGCAGACTTTCTTCGCTACTAATTGGTCTAATTAGTGTAGATTGGAAAAGCCGCTGTATCGCTTACAGTAGTATCAGTGACTGCGATTTTTTAGCCTACTGCTTCTCTTTACCTTGTTTTAAACTCTCTTATTACTATATGTTAAGTAGACTATCCACCATGCGAGTGACAGAAATCATGTCATTTATGGAAAGGACGTAAATCTCCCACAAGCGCTTTATGAGGTAGAAGTTGCCCTTCTGCTTTGGGTCCAATTAACTTTTCACATCTGCTTTTCTCCTCTATTAACCACAACCTTACAAACACATTTCTGGCAATAATGTTTGCTTGTGATTTTTTAGTTATTCCTCTCCATTGGAATGTTTTTGATGGAGGTGAGGCGTGAACAACAGCAATCGTTGACCTTGGCGACTCACTATCTGGCTTTCTTGAGAACACGCCTGCGCAAGGAATTTTCAGCGGATGATAATGTCAATACCAGCACCTCTGTCAACATTATAAGTCAATTCTGGATTGTTGCACCCTTCGCCGTTCCTGCTATCCTCTATACCGTGACCAACAACATTGCCTTTTTCATCCAAATGGAAATGGATCCAGCCACCTACCAAGTACATTTCTAGACTGCCTTCAATTAAATAATTGTTGCCGCTGGCGCGTCCCAGCTGAGGAGGTTGAAGATACACTAATGATTTGGAGATTATCACAATAGCATTTGCACCTTGACTACCATCTAGTCCGACACTCAAATTCCTTCTTTTAACGTATTTTCGGAGTTAGGTCATTTCTGATTTCGACTAAATTTGCTTATAGATGAAATCTCTTGGAAATCATTTTAGCTCTTTTCGCTCTTAAACAAGTTGTCCCATTGCACCCTTTATTTTCCCAATATAGGTTCTTGGAAATTTCAAGATCCTCAGTACGGCTGTTCTATTTCGACTCATAATACGAAGGTTTGTGCAGATTTTTTATCCATTTTGAATGATTAGTACATTTTTACTTATTAACATTATAAATACCGAAATCTAAGGGAAACCACTCTTATGGCAGATATCACCAAGGAAAACGTCAGCAGTGCTTTTTCTCCCAACATCGCAAGAGTGTCGTAATACATCTCAATTTTAGATTGACGCAAGGTGGCACTATCACCGCCTTCACTCAAATTTTTTTAGTAATAAATTGTGTCACGTTAATTTAAAATAATCCTTAGAATCATTAACTGATAGACGAGCAGTTTTATAAAAGCTTAGGCTACTGCGAATATTGCACAATGGATAAAGGGAGCTCAAAGAACTTGGCGTGTATGTTTATATTTGTTTTTAATAATTTAGGCCGATATCCTACCGACAGTGGTTCGCGTTATTTCTTCTGCTCGTGGCGGGCATCATCAACGGGTATGCAATCGGTGAACGCTAGAATATTACCATAGCACTAAAATGTAGGAAGCGTTTGTTTACCATCAGGTCTAAGGTCCGTAGTCGATTTATCACCTTCTGATCCGCCCGTGATAATACTATTTTGGAATACATGGGCACGTGGCGTGAGTCAACTGCGAAAATCTGTTGCAGTTTTTATGGGCTTCATGACCGGTTCAATGGGCATAGAGTGTGAGTGAGGTTAATGTCATGTTCCACTTGACAGCAGCCCATGTGGCGGAAAAAACAGGCGTTCGCCTATGCGTTGAGCACATTTAGCACGTCGTCATTACTCTCCTCCGTCTTTTCTTAAACAGAATGACAAATTATGATGAATCCACCACCAACTCCTCCAGCGTGCTCCATATCACTCTCAGGGGTATCATAATGATCAGCATTTACTGTACAGTCTCCGGTCTCGCCAGCGTCTACACCGAGTATGTGCTCAAGAAACGTGTCCGTGTGAGTCCATATTACGGATATTTGATATTTATAGCTAACGAGAATATATGCATACTCGCACTCCCTTGTCTTTTGTAGATGAGCTTAAATACTCAAAATGCGACTCTGTACATATTTGGCACTATAACCAATGGCCTTCTCTACGTGTTTCAGGAGGCTATCATCACGGGTGAGCTCGTTTAAAAAAATTATTGCATGTAAAAATGCTACGCTCTAGGATTCTGGAATCTTTTCATTACCCCTTAATGGGATTCGGTTGCATTTATAATTCTCGCTTATGCCCACTTTGTCATCCAGTTTTAGTATGTGAGGAAAAAAAGCTTTGGTGGTCGAATCAAATCGCTTTAGTGTTATGGAAGAAAAGGTGCCTGCGCTTAGTTAGCGGACTTACACACCACTCAATTACTACTGCTAAGATCGTCTTGAAATTTGAAATAGCCCAAAAAAACGGCAAAACTATTAGGTGGGTGCTGTGTAGCAGTCGTTTGAAGTTGCGTTGCAAAAACCCCCTTGATGGTGGTGTGTACTTAGCGAGGGCATAAATGAGTCGACGACCGAGTCTTCTGAGTCGGGTTGTGCTTGCAAGGCGTGTAAGCGGTTTCTTTGTGTGTCACTCCAAACTCAAGCTGTGACTGAGTGTTGCAGTCTGTTAATGAATTATCTTTTTTGAAGGAAGCTTTAATATGCTTCGAGGATTTTCGGTTTACACGTGGATCTTGGTTGGAACACAGGCAATCAGCGGGATTTTCATAGGCTTCGTAATGAAATACGCCAGTAGCATTCTTCGTCTTTTCGTAATATCGTCAGCCATGATCGTGACAACGGTGCTTTCAGTGCTCATTTTCGGCCTTGTACTCAAAATCAGCTTTCTCTTCTCTGCCGGACTTGTTGTCTGTGCATTGATACTCTACCACTATTGAGTCTTTCCTCTGATATTGTTGACTGATTTTATTATTACATACAAAGTGACTTTTTCTTAAACTAAACAGAATCATTATTCTGTGGGATTTGTGGTTGCGTGACTCAACCGTCGCTAAGATATTACGGATCAAATTAAGCACTCAAGTTGTGCATGTGCCACAGTGTCAATGAAATCCAGCGGTAATGTTAATGCAAGCATTTTACTCGATAGCGAAATGCTCATGTAAAGATTACGTAAGTCCTGCGCATTAAGAATTAGATTATTTAAAAAGTATACGCAGATTTCCTCACACAAATAGAACTCTAGAACAGAAAAGAAATGCCACCACAACAAAGCCTAGATGTGTACTATAATTGGATCTGTCGCGCCCCGGAACTTCACTTAAGACGAGAAAAAAGTGCTTACCTAGAATGTATACTGCCGATGTACTGCAGGGCTTGAGGGCTACTGGCGTGGTCCGAAGGCCAGGCCGACCGTCAAAGGTTCAGCGGAGGAGCCCTAAATGGCTCGTTACTAAAGTTGAGTCAAACAAGTAATCAAGGCATCATAGATCACATGCAATTTCGGTGGTTTCAATTGTGTCGGTAATGGTCTCCTTGGATGGCGACATCCGCTAGCAAGTGGCGCTGTGGACGTACGCGAAGCTAATCCTCTCTAAGATGCCTAAAATCTGCCAGTCTAGTGGGCTCCAGTGGGTCAGAGCAACAGAACTGCTACCCAGCTGTTGCCGAACAACTCCTGATCCATGTTTTGAGAGCCGTATTACTAAAATTTCCCGAGAAAAGGCTTGAGAGCTATCACAGCCATTAATACATTTGTCCAATCTTCCTCAGCAATGGTTGGGAGTTGGTTAATTTTCTGTTTCTGAACTTTTCTATCACAGGGGAATCATTCCAAATTGATACTTGGGGCCCATTTTTGATGTTAGGGTCGGATGAATTGACAACAATTAAGAACAATACCTTCCTAGGATCACCATGTTTGCTTAGGAAAATAGTTAAACCACTTCGTCTTGCGCGTTGTATTAAACAAGTTTCATGCTTATAGAGAAAAGGATGAAAAAATGAGATCAAATTTCCGAGTGTTTCTTCGGGTTTCGATCGTCGAATGGTTGACTCATTGTTCAGTTTTGCTAATGTCCATGCGGTTTTCCGGATTCAGTAATTGGCACCGCTTTCTATCAACCAGACCAAAAAGGAATGTATGGGCTGAAGTATCCATTGTTTTGACTAAAGTATTTAAAACCCGTTTAATATTAGATGGGCCGATCATCAAAAGACAGAAGGTGATTACTGAAATGAGGGAATGCTAAATTTTTATCGAGATAAGCAGGCAGGCATAACGCAGAAGTGATTGTGTCCTTGTGAATGCTAATCCTACCGGATAAAGCAACCCATTGCACAACTTGATGGAGGGATGAGGTAATCACCAGGTGGGTATAAAAATGGCGCACACACGACACATAAATTAGCTCAGACCAGCTGACGAGGCAAGCTCACCAATGTTCGTGCCTGCTTTCATCCTCCAGCTTCTTGAAGACGTGTCTGACCCCAAGTTCGGCGAGAACGACGATGGAGGAGAAGGGGAGAGCGCCACTGCCACTGAAGCTGCATAACCTATGGGAATGTAAAGACTTGGATGACGAGTGCCGACATCAAATGGCAAGAAGTAAAATCAAAGCAAGGTAGAGCCAAAACAGCCTATCTCCCATTTCTTTTTCTACTCGGGAATCTCAGGCAACTTGTGGGACTCATTTTTTTATGAGTACCTCACTGCATCAATGAAACCACGAACCAATTGTATCAAGTTTCGCTATTTTGTGTACAGTAAATGATTTTATATCCATCCTACTTACACTTTATTGTCACCGTTGTTAAGATTAGCGTAGACAGGTTTTGTACATGGATAAGTTAGCAAATTACCATGAAATTGGTAACAAAAGGATAGTAGAACACGAAACTACTACACTCTTAATAATTTGTTTGTAAGAACCAAAGCAGTCTTCGTCATTCAATTCACAAAACATAATATCATTAAGAGACTAATCTTTATATCTGGGCACAGATGTGGGATTTTTTGGCCATTATATGGTTAGGAAGAAATTTTTACATTGGGCTTTAGAATGTACTAGTTCTACAAGTCCAAGAATCCGTCAAAAACACTCAAAGCATAAAGCCGAGCTTGGTGAGTAAGCATGTGGTGTACATCAAGTGATGCGGTTTTGGTCATAAATTGCCCTAATCCTGATTACTCACCTAAGCAGTAGCATAGTGAAAATGCGTTATCCTCCTAAGATTTAGGGGGATGTATTTTTTTATGCCCAATTTTCAAATATCCGGAACAGTCAATAAGTCGCTCGGATTTACCGAAGTTCCATTCAGCCAATACCGAGGGATAAACCACCATCGTATTACACTAGGCGTTCATTGTATTCGAGCAGCTATGAAAAGCTGGTGAGACTCCCAAAAGATCAAGTTCATGTGACGTACTCATCTTTTTATAGCCACTGGCCTGGAAGACGATCCAAATTTAATGTACGTCAGTTAGCTGAGCTGTACCACATGCTCGTGGTTGCTTGTGGGAAAAAAAGATACACTGCATGTTCACTACTTGTTTATCCCTGGCAATACGGTAACAAGGTCTTGGATAAGCCTAAATAAATAGTAAAATTGCTAACGTAATCAAATGGCTTAGGCAGCTCAATGTAGGACGTTAAATAATTGTAAGGTTTTTGCTGTTGCAAAACTTGACTTGGGCCCAGAGCATGAAGGCTCCACTTGACGAACCTTCCTTCGCTTATTTACCTACGATGATTCTCCATGCACATGATAGCCTAAATCGTAGGAAAATTAAATGCCACAAGCTCATCTTACTAGTTTTTAGTGCAGCGGTACACCCAGTTGGAGGGTTTAGTGCCGTCTGCTAAATTTCACACTCAAAGAGGTGAATTCTTGCGCGTCATATAGTCGAGAATACGAAATCAACCTAAATTTAGCCTAGATGAAAAGTGAGCAATGTAGCCTAAAAATAAGTATTGCATTAAAACTAGAGGGTAAATGCGATCTAAGAGTGTTTAAAAACGATTAATGTATTTGGGGCAGACCGATGGGCAAAGTGTCAAAGGAAGAAATAATTACTTTGAAATATCAAAGATTGATCTCCCAAGGCAAACATTTTTTGCTTATTGCGAGATTAAAGCTGTTAAGCAATGCAACGAGTGTGCTAGCCAATGGCGCTACTCTTTTACAGAGTTTCGTAACTGCTTCAGATTATTCACTGCTGGTGTCGCTTTTACTGCCAACAGCTTACCTGCAGACCATGGGACTGAGGTGGTTGTCGTAATAAGATGTAATTTCTGGACCTTTTGCCGGAGGTTATAAACCTTTTCTGTAGCGCTACAGATTCATGCTCAGTTGTAATCCTCATGATAGTTGTCTTTTAGGATGGAACTCATTCCCCGTTGCCTCCAATGTTCCCCCTTGAGACTTCCCTGAAGACAAAGGATGGCCGAATATTCGGACAAACTATGTATTTTCGACGAACAAGAGGGCTATGGCCCCCAGGCCAGTCCACTCAGCGAAGATACAATGAGGAGCTTGTAAATGACTTGATGCTAAAGCCGAGAGTTAAACAAATTACTAGTTCATTGCTGTATCAATCCAATGTACTGAAAAAAGGCATACATAACTAAAGTACAGAAGAATTGGATGCCTACTAGTATGGCCCGAAGACAATGCCACAGGATGAGAGTAAAACCTGTGCTAACTTAAAAGCTCACACTGTTAAACAAATATTAAATCATTAAAAATGCACCATCCAAATGTCTCTGTCGTTCTACCCTCTGAACCTTGAACTCGTGAGATAGGGCCAACTACTAGCATTGGTGGAGGCTTTGATTTATAACTTTCAACTTTTGAAATATTTACTAACTACTAAAAATGAGGAGTATGGAAGCATATTTATCTGAATGAGGTCGAATTTATTTGGCGTCTGTCTTCCTAAGACACCTTTCTTTGGAGATATGACTAGGTTGCGTAAGACGTTGACTGTTTTTCTGACCCTGGGTTTCGGTAACGGGCCTCTTAGGGGCTCCGCCGATGTGTTTTGCCGATTGACCTGGACTCCAAACTATGGCAGTAGCACCCAATCCCTTTGTATGCCGACAAAACATGTTGTGCCCAATTAATATGTCTTCTTTTGCCTTCACGTAAGGCTTAGAGCGTCACAGCAGTTCACTTTCCGAATGTTAAAAGTTAGAATCGTGTGCAATAACTTCGAATCTTGAATTATACATTAAAACCAACACTTTGAAAGATAGTGAATTAAAAATGCTGAGGGCCGAGCTCAAAAGAGGAAAGGAGCAGTTCGGTACTTTTGGTATACTTAACTATGCGAACGTTTCATTCCCAGAAGTTTCGATTTCCTGATTGTCATTCTGCCCATGAAAACAGCCTCCGGGATGATATTGGTGTATTTCCACTTCAAGATAGTCTCTTAATTTTACCAATATATGCAATTAATTATAGGTTGGTTTATGAAGGCCGGCGATTCAGTGATTTGCTTAACAAGTTGCAGTACCACCTTTTTCTACGCTAGTGAATAGTCACCCTATACCAGCTCAGAATTTCACAAATTCCACCCAAACTCAAGCACCGCAGTGCTTGTAATTCTGGAAGAGTAAATCCCATTTACGCTACAAAATTGGTGACTGTAAAATGCTGGTTGTTTAATCTCGGTTTTGCTGAAGAGCCACCTTCGACTTGGCCATTGTAACATGTCAAGTAGTCTGGCCTTCGAGCCATGCCAGTAGCCCCCAATACCTTCTGTATGTCAGATATACATATGTGCATTCTGCCCGAGTATCATGTCTTCTTGCATCTTCAGAGAAGCCCCGGGACACTACATTGGTGGCAGAGGAAAGCTAACCCAATCCTAAAGGACATCTATCCCGATCTCCACTGCTGGGTGGTAAACCTTAGTGGGGCGGAAGTAGTACATATGCTACGGATGGGGAAATCGGTGACAACCCCAAACAGAAGAGCTAAGACTGATGTCAGCCTTTGGCACCTACCCCAGTCCCGTGTTCTGCAGGAAAGCTATCACTGGCCGTGAACCATCTAAAATAGTTTCATTGCAGAGTTGCCCTACCGTACCAACATAAAGTTGTCGATAAAGTGAACTCGCGATACCCCTTCCACGTCTCTACTAGATGGATAGAGCCCGGATAGATATGACGGGGCGGCCCCGCCGTGAGAACAGCGTGGCAAGGAGGAACAGATGCGAGACCCTTTCCCCACCGTCCCCCATGGACCTGTGTTAAATCTCGCCCTTCCTTGCGCAAATTTGCTTTCACGTCCGTGTTCCTACATCTGTCTGTGGACACGCATGATGGCCAGCACAATTCCCTGTCCCCGAATCCATTTCCCAAGCCGGATACAACTCCAGATGCAGTTGAATTGCCAAGAGGGATCAGTGACGCTGAGGTCAAGTATCTCCTCAGTTGCATAGAAATTTGGTCACTGGCACGGCTGGCTCGTGGGTGTTTCCTTACAGTACCGACTGCGTTGTGATGGCTGACGCGGGAGGTTGACCATGGGGAGCGCTGGGAACGAAGCCCAAAAGAGGAGAGGGGCTATATGATACGACGGTTGTCTAACTCTTCGTATTGGTGAGGGGCCACTAATGACTTTGCCACTGTACCACGCCGGGTGGGCTGGCCTTCGGGCCGTGTCAGTAGCCCAGATACCTGTTGTTTGTCGAATGTGTATATATTCTGCCCGAGTATTATGTCTTCTTTCGTCTTCAGGGAAGTTACCGTGACGCTGCACATCTGCATGGTAAATGAATATACGCTTTTCGAATATTATCTTCTTTTGTTTTTAAGGAAGTCTCGGGATGCTACTTTTGTATTCGCCGTTCAA